CCCTGTGGACATCCTCTCGCTACCCGTGCCGCTGTTGTCTCTCCCATAAGGGTTGCGTGTATAGTACTCTACCTTAACATAGAGTCGATCCAGGACACGCATGTGTCCTCGATTCCTCTGTGTTTGAGAGATCTAATGATCGATTCAACGGAGGTATTGTCAAATGCACCCTCGATATCCAAGAATGCTCCCAGCATTACCTCCTTGTTTTCCAGTGTGTTCTCCACCCTTTTTATTAGTTGATGGAGAGCTGTTTTAGTTGATTTCCCTGCACTATAGGCGTATTGGTCTTTGTATATTGGCCTTTGAACCAATATCCCGTCTCTAATATGCCTATCTAGCAGTTTTTCCAAAGTCTTAAGTACGAAGAACATAAGACTTATTGGTCTTAGGGACTTTGCCGTTTCCTGTCTTCAACAATACCCGTATCTCACGTGATCTGGTAAAACAACAAATTGATTTATAATAGCCGTTCTTAGTAACTTTTATGATAACTTCAGTATCAGTTCTGTCAAATAAGTCAGTTACTGTTGAAGTTATTAATGTTCTTTTAGCTAAGTGGTGACATCAATTTCGTCCCATGGGATGTGGGTATTGTTGAAGACTCTGTAGATGTCGCGGCAAGGAACAATAAGGAATCAATACTATCACCGCTAGAATGAGACCCACGGTTACTTACTGTTACAATGGTAGTCAAGCATCTTGAATTCGTACCAATCATATTAATCAGCATTTTACTAACAGCTCCTTTATTACTGAGGATGAAACAATATGTATCAGTTGCGCTAAGGTAAATGACAAAAAAATTTCCAAAATATTCGTAGCATAATATATTCCAATTTAAATATCCCACCTAATCTGGGTCCCTTCTTACCTCATTGTTCTTCGTAAACATAGTTTCAGGACTACAAACAAGTTTTAAAAGCAAAAATCATCATCAGATCTTGCCCAAAATGATATGGGACCAACCCTGAAGTAATTAATTTCTAACAAAAAATCATACTAAGTTAAATATTATCTTAGTAAAGCCATTGCGGATGACCAGGTCATTACAGGTTTGTATTATATGGTCGCCATTAAGTGGTTTTATGGGCACTAAGATTTTTTAATATTGTTAGATTACTTATATTTTTTTAATAAATTAGCACGGGGTTCTGAAAAAAAATCTACAAATACAGCTACATATTCTTATTGTACAAAGTATTAGATTACATTGATTAACTTTCCAAATATAGTAATCAGATTGCAAAATAACAGGAAATAAACCTGCGTTTGGAATAAGCAAAACCTCTGCTCAAGAGGTAGTGAAAAGTTGGATAATCACAAAACATCAAACTCCCTACAAGATCGAATCAGTAAAGTCATGCTAATGAGATCAAAGCTAGGAATGGGCTACTAAGGTAATATGCACGGAAAAAAATGTGACTAGAAAATTTTACTACAATGTTGTAGTAGAAAAATACTTAACAATTTGTAGAAAATTTTACTACAATTTATAGTTAAAAACTATTAATTATTGTAGCAATTGAATTGTCGAATAAAATGCTACAACAATAGGAAAGAAGTCCACAATGTTTAGATTATTTTACTATTGTTTGTAGAAGTAGAAATTTATTACAATTATCGTAATTACTACTACTAACTTCTGTAAAAATTTGTACAAATATTAATAATTATCTCTACAAAAAATAGTAATTTTCTCTACAAAAACTAGTAATACTTTACATCCCTTCTTCAAAAATATTCTATAATATTGTAGAAATTCTAAGTCATGTGAACAAAACAGAATTCTGCTATTGGCCAACGTTTTCTGACGTCGATCATAAACGGCCAGACAGCAGTAGCCGTTCGCCATGTTCACATAACAAAGCATGGTACATATACGAGTACATATAACACATTATTATATTATAAGCACCGATGCGTTTGAGAAAATTTTAATAATAAATTCTATTGGTGGTAAGTACATTTATTAATGTTTCTGAATAATTTACCTTTAGATAACTAATTTTAATAACCTTAGTAGATTATTTTAAAAAAATAGTTGTGGCAAACGATCGAATTTTGTGCCAAGTTCAATGATGTTTTTTGTCTTAATTGTGACATACCTACTTTCTCATTTTTGTTAGTTATCTGACTTAGTCATTTAATATCCAAATCAGTGTAAAGGTGATAAATATCCCCGTTTTAAGGGTATGAACAATTCAATTGGTATTAATTTTTATTTCATATTTTTCAGGTGCAGAAAAGCCAACTGAGACTGAGGGCGCTATTATTACTGTTATTTATTACATAATGTAATTAAGAATTTGTATCTTTTATATTAAAACAATAAATTGAATATTTTATTAAGGAACATTTTTTTCTAGGTTATAATTATAATAATTATGGAATACTACTACAAATTTTATTAAAAATTACTACAATTTCTATGAATTTTTACTATTTATTGTGTAAAATTTTCGTATTTATTTTCATAAAACGCAATACATTTTTAATATAAATTCATACAATGAATAGCAAAAATTATAACAATTTGTAGAACAATTCTTATGATGCATTTGGATCTTTCTATTAAATATTGTAGATAATAACTCTACAATACATTCTCCACAAATATTTGGAAATTTTTACTACAAATTGTCCCTGTCCCTATATGTACTATTTATTGTAGAGAAAAAATCTACAATTGTAGAAATTTGTTCTACAATTTTTTTTCCGTGTGGTTTTACACCCACAGATATAAGGTTGATGAAATACCTTCATGTGATGAGAATTCACGATGCCACCAAGTGTAGATTACTCGTATTTGTGGAAGAGAAAGAAACCTCACATTTCTTTTTCTTGGAATGCTAAGCCTTAGCTGTTGGTGGTGACACAACCTGTTCGATCTGTCACCAGAAAGAGCGACCAAGGAATACTATTGATAAGCAATAGCCGTTTTTTTTACAGGTATAGGGGTCTATTCTGTAACACTTCCTTTATATTTTAACGGCCGTTAAAATATTGGCAGCCTTTAAAAATATTTTTGTATTCACTAACTTACTTCTGTCATTATTTAAACGGATTCCTTTAAAATAGTCCTCAAATAACAATAATTTTTAAAGGAATGTTAAAATTCGCTTTTAATTTTTAACGGTTTTGAATTAAAAATTGAGGATTTGTATGGTTATGTTTTCAAACTAGTTCAAATAAATCTTAAATGCGATGTTGTCAAGTGTTCCCTGCCATTTTTAAGGGAACCCGTTAAAATAAATAATTTTTAACAGGCCTCTAAAATTTGAGTATACAGAATACCATTTTTGGTTAAAAAAATTGACGGGCCTCTAAAAGTTTAATTTTTAAAAGCTTCTAAATTTTAACGGATGTGTTACAGAATAGACCCCATACTTGACTAACTAAAAGTTAGATTCTAAGCTAAGTTGTAAAAAGAACGCGAATTTTGGTTGACAGGTGACGTGTCCCATGTCATCCGTTTAAAAACAATCGACGACATTTTTATCAAATTTTATAATTTCTTCATCATTTAACACTACGATTTTATCACAGGCTTTTAATCTCTTTAAAATAATGAATTCATAGGATATGTTTGTTCGTATGATGCACATAACACTCGCTTTCTGTTATGGTTTATTGTTAATAATCAGGATGTTTTAAGAACGTCCATTTAAAGACATTCCATGGACATTTTCAAAAGCTCAAATGGGGAATAACAGGATGTAAGGAAATTAGTGAAAATAATGAATAATTTCAAAAAAAATTATTTGGAAGCAAATAACCTATAAATAATAAAATTATTAAAATTTTTTCGTCTCTCCTCTAATTTGCTCTTTTTAACCATATCTGGATTGACAGCAGTCAGTTTTTTTCTTGATTTGGCCATATTTGCCTTCTCAGCTGAATCTGAAAATAATTTAATCGCTTATTCAAAATAAAAAGCATATCAATATTAAAATCCAATCTGTTTAAGTTTGCCTTGCTAGATATTATAAATTCACTAATTTTTTAGCTTTGTAGTATTCATTGGAAAACTTCTACCTTTCTCAGACAAAAATGGCACAAACTGCAAAAAATTAATATTGATCAACCACAAACTCACAGAGTCGAATAACAGTCAAATGGCGGAATGATAGAACTTGTACTCGTATATGTATAAAATATGTATAAAATAATAAAACATATTTTAGTGCTTGAATCTAAATGTGATCTAAATAAATAAAAATAACAACAATGTCTATTTGGCCTTCATTAAATTGGATATTAGGACATTGCCATCTTTAATAATTATTTATATTATCTCATTATATATGTTTTTTATATAATATAACCAGATAATAATACAATGCGAATGTGAATCCATGGAAATATAGTAAAGCACGTAGAATTGACGTTCTGCAGATATTTAATTCTTGACGTCCCGAGGATTTACTAAATTGGATTGGACATACTTAAAACGTCCATAATTGGTCCTGGACGTACAGACGAAAAATGGACATGTAATGAACGACCTTAGGACGTCTTGTGCTATCTGGGTAACATCGGTAAGGGGGGAAGAAAGATTCTGACTTACAATCACAAAAATAACATACAACTAAGCTTAGTCGATCCATTATGGTCGATCTAAATTAGCTCAGATTAGTGGTAATAGAAAACGACTATTATAATAACCCCAGTATATATACCAATAATAATAACACTCAAGAAATGAAGTATGTAGAGTACCTGAACACGGGGAACGCTGCTACCGACCTTCTTCAACACGGATATATCACCGACCTCGTCAAAGGGAAAAAAGTTAAAATGATAAAATATAAAAAATTATAGTAAATTGCTTAACCCCTTTTAAAATGTACCAAAAGCGTTCCGACAAGCTTGAAGGACGGTAATTATGTCATGTCATCTGTTATTTGGAGACTACCCCAACATTTTTCGCCCCTCCTACAAAATCTGACTTATATTATTGCGTAACGCATTGCCCTCTTATAATTATACTTTCGCAGCCAGAGAGCTTATCTTGACTTCGTGTACTGTCGAGTGTCGAGTGTTAAAACGCGCGGGCGCGAGTTAAGTCGCATTTTGAAATTCGTATGATATCGACATCGACAATGCCACTCAAATCCACTGCCTGACCAGTACCGGTTGCAGAATTAAAGAAATGTTCATGAAAAAAGGCATTACGGGTACTTGGGGTTGAAGTGTAATTTCTGACAGAAAGTGGATTTTTGGATAAGACTGTGTGTTCTGTGGCGAGTGATATCTAAGCCTGTGTAAAAGTTAAAAAACAAAAAGCCCGGTATTTGTGAATATTTATCATATTTTGAATAAACTTGGTAAGTATTTAAAATTTATGTCTGAAAGGTCAGGTATATATCTATTAATGACACGTCTATTGTTATTTTTGCGCAAATAGAGTAAAATTTGAATTGTAAATAGTTACATTTTTATTATCATTTTGAGAAATACTGGTCGTACTACGGTAGATATACATTTTGGACATTGTCCTTTGATTTTGTGGATACTTACGTCATTATGAATTCATCGATTGTTTTTAAATAATATGACTTTTATTCTTTATACTCATATTTGTGGAATGACTATCTATTGATATTGATAAGATAAATATCACGACTGTTTGTTAATAATACATCGAATATGTTTCGTAATATAAGTACCCACCTATCTGAAAATCTGCAAATTATTCATTCATTACAGCTATATATATTTGAATTAATAATGTAATCTCAGAGTTATTACTAATCTTGTAATTTTTAATTTTAAAATAATTTAATCCCTCACTAAACTAAGATCTTGAAATTTTTATAGGAACTGAAATTACAAACCTATATACCTATTTATATAATATATATAATATATAATAAAAATAAATAAATCCCAAATGCAGTCAAAATCGAAGATAATTTTAATTTACTGGGCTTTGATTTTGAAGATGAACCAAAATGGTCAATAACCTCGCATCGAATCAGTGTATTGATACCTATTTTTTATTTTATGCGGCTAAGTAAGCCGAGTCTAGACTATCAATTAATTGAATCTTTGAAATTTTCTGAATGCTACCTAATAATTTCTCACCGATATTAGTAGCAGTCGTGATAAAAACAGAAATTCTTTTCATCGAAAAAAAAAAAAGAACTTTTTCAGATATTTTATTTAAACGTCTATTATAAATCAATTATATTAAAATAAAATAGAAAATTGTTTATTTTATTTCAATTTACATTTTTAATATTTATGATTTGATTTTTAAACAAATTTTTCCGTACTTAATGTCTTCATACTAAATTAATAAAGTCATTTTACTTATAAAATAAAATTTCGAATTATATTATTAAAGACAACACATTACACTTCAGTTGTAGACTTTTGGTTTCAGTAAATTATACGGATATACTGAATGTCACAATATTGATAAAATAATACTATAAGGGGCTATTATGCAAATATTATGTAAATACTAAATAACTTTACTACAAATACACACCAGTCAGTCATAAAGTCATAGAAAATACAACAAACAAAATATATTCACAAATAAAAAGTCCGTGAACTTGGCACTACAACATATATGCAAAAATGGTACAAAAATTCGTGAGAGGATTGCCCATCGTTTGCCCGTTATTGTCCATGAAATAAACTTTTTGCCCACCCACTGTTTTCAAAATATATCGAAAAGAATAATTTTATCGGGCCAACTTCCAGACCAAAGTAAACATTATTATTTTGGCATTATTTCGATATTTGTCCATTTTTTATTACAAATAAAAACTTATAAAGTTTTAGGCCCCCACATTGACCTACGATTTAAAAAACATGCGCAATCTTCAGTGACTTACAATTAGTTTTTCATTATTTCGATGTTTGCTCATTTTTTTTATAAGAAATAAAGACGTATAAAAGCGCTGGTAATGAAATTGTCAGTAGTTCTGGGACAATAATCCAGAGGGATTGAGTCTAAGTAGAGTGAAAAAAGAAGTGAACTTGTCATTCAATCCTTTTTTAAATTTTCAAAGAATGGTAAGCTAATTGGAAAAAGTAAAAAATGGATAAACATGGGCAAACGAATGATTACCTAATGCAGTTATCATATTTAATTTTTGTGAATATTTATTCACAAATTTTGGCACCATTTTTGCAATGTTGTGGTGCCAACAAATAAAACTAAAGAGTGATACACAAAAATGTTTCTAAAGTTGGCCATGACCGACATGCCCTAATTTTTCCAAGAACTACTTTAGAATAATTTTTTGTGAATCCTCCATATAACTGCAAGAAGGTCAGAGGCCAGGCGTCACATTACTAGATACAGTAATAAAATAAGATAATATATTATATAACTACACCACTCTCTCAAAAAAATCAGACAAATCTAGAAAAAGTTTCAACAATGGCACTTTTCATAAGATTAGTTTTACACTAACTACAAAAATTAGGTTCTATTTTTATTTTCTACAACGTATAGGATATGTCAAGTTATAACTAAATAAATAAAATACACAAATCGATTGTCTAGGTATGATTTAACATTAATATCTAATAGACAATGAAGAAAAAAATCCAACAAAACAGAAAGGTTCAGCTATGGATAGGTACTTAAAAATTAACTTGCTAAAAATTCATCATCAGAGTACAAGGAGTTAACATTTAGATTTATTTTGAATGAATGATCAGTAGTAATTTGTTTTTTTATATTCAGACAAACATTTGTGCAACAATTTACAGTTGCTAGACCGACCACAATTCATTATTTCGCAAATATAAAGTCATCATACTGGGTGAGGTTTTCCCGAGGTTTTCCTCACATAACAATTGAAATGACCAATCTGCAAGTCACCAGGGAGGGTAATGGCAAATTATAATAATAACCATGCCTCCCCCGCACAATCTCTTCTTTCTGACGACCACTCGGGGTGTATTAAGGGTTGAGGATGATCAATTGATCGCTACTTAATTGACCGGTGAAATTCGGTCAAAATATCTAAAATACCTCATCAAAAATATTTTATATGATTTGTATCATATTACATATCAATATTATAGAATTTTCGAACTTAAAGCACTGACACGGAGTTATTAATTGCTCACAGGGTTCATCATTAATTCGGTTTTCAAATTGCACTCGGAGCGACTTTAAATGTTAATGTTCAGCTAATTTAAATGTTTTTTTTTGTTTTAGATTAAGTTTAAATATAAATATGTTTTGAAGTTTCTTTAAATGTGAAAATAAAATTATTTTTATATTCATTTTAGTCAATAATTGACAAAAAAGAAATTGACCGGTCAAATCAACAATCCTAGTGAATTGTAGAGATACTGTTACATTAAATATAATGTCAATAGTGGCAATCTATGAGCGAGCAAATACTCTGCACTTGGAATTTAACTGAGGGGTTAGTTTTAATTGAAGTGTGTTGTACATTCCAATCGGGAGTACATTGGGAGTGTATTGGAAGTGTATTGGGAGTGTATCGGGAATGTATTGAGAATGTATTGAGTATTTATTGGGAGTGTTTTTGGAATGTATTGGGAGTGTATTGAGAATGTATTGAGTATGTATTGGGAGTGTATTAGAAGTGTATTGGAAGTGTATTGGGAGTGTATTGGGAATGTATTGGGAGTGTATTGAGGATGTATTGAGAATGTATTGAGAGTGTATTGGGAGTGTATTGGGAGTGTATTGGGAATGCATTGGGAGTATATTGGGAGTATATTGGACGTGTATTGGGAATGTATTGGGAATGTATTGGGAATGTATTGGGAATGTATTGGGAATGTATTGGGAATGTATTGGGAATGCATTGGGAATGCATTGGGAATGCATTGGGAATGCAATGGGAATGTATTAGGAGTGCGTTGAAAGTATTTTGAAAGTGTATAGGGAGTGTATTGGGAGTGTATTGGGTAATGTATTGAGAGTGTATTGAGGATGTATTGAGGATGTATTGAGGATGTATTGAGGATGTATTGAGAATGTATTGGGAGTGCATTGGGAATGCATTGGGAGTATATTGGGAGTATATTGGACGTGTATCGGGAGTGTATTGGAGTATACTATTTTAGTTTACAATTCCTTTTTTAATAAAATTAAACATAACCAGTATGCATGTTTTGGCTAAAAAAAGGCAAAAAATATTTTATTTTATGAAAACAAATTATCACAGGTTGTTTACCATAAGTCCTACAAAACATTTTTTAACGGACTGAAAGAAAATCAATTTTCTTTGTATTTCTTTTAAATTAAATTATTCGATTAATGGGTCATTAGGTTATTTTAATTAATCGATTTATTGAAAATAATAAATATTTTTAAAAAGTCGAAAATAATCGATTAATAAAAAATATCGATTAATCAAAAATAATCGATTAATCGATTAATAAAAAATATCGATTAATCAAAAATAATCGAATAATCGATTTTCGATTTTTCAACAAAAGAATTACGATTATGTTGCTCTTCCCTAAAAATAACCCGCAAGAAAATATATTTGTATGCCTTGTATTCTATTCAAAACTGAATAGTAGGTAAATACCTAAAACCTTGTAATTTTTTATACAGACTAAATATTAATGTATTTTTTATAAAACTATTTAAATGAAAGTCATCAATCGAGCAAAAGTCATAAAGAAAATTCTTGGAATATAAAACGCTGAATTTGTAATGTTCCCAGTTATGCCTGCATACAAATTGTAGCCAGGCGTTTCGTTTTGAAGATTTTTTTGGAAATTTATTAATATTATTTCGTATGAAAAAGTATAATTGCAATATAGGTAGGACCAGAATTTGATGGATAATATTTTTTGTACTTTTAAAAGCATATTTTTACACATTTTATACAAACCGGCCATAATACTGTCCTGTACAGTATTTATAATTTTTATACTCGTACTAGCCTATGAAAGGTTAAACCAGTAAATTTTTTACTTAAACGAGTATTGCTAGAGCAGGAACGAATTAAACACCTAGGCATTACGCACTTTATAGTTTATAATACGCAAAAATCGTTCAAACACTAATAAAAATTAAATTTAATTACAAAAAGAAAAATAACCTATAAAATTGACAAATTACACCCACAATAATGGCCGACCGATCCCACTTTGCACTTATACATGTCGTATCCTCAGGTTGCCATATCAATGGCACATTGAGAGTGCATTGAAAGTGCATTGAGAGTGCATTGAGAGTGCATTGAGAGTGCATTGTGAGTGCATTGTGAGTGCATTGTGAGTGCATTGTGAGTGCATTGGGATTGTATTGGGAATGCACTGGGAGTGTATTGGGAGTACATTGGGAGTACATTGGGAGTGTATTGGG